ACAGTTTACTGCTATCTGTAATACATTCCAAATCTCCCAAAAGGAGAGCAGCACAGAACAGACAAGCACTCAGCCCCGAGGAAGGCAACAGAAAGCAGAAGCTCTGTCTTTCTTCTACAACTCAAATCATAACTACTTCCCACATGTACAGTTTGAGGTGACATCCATAACTCTGAAAAAAGCTACTTTTTCATCATAAAGGAGTCTAAAGAACTGACAAATACCTGTATCTGAACAAGAAGGTGCACATCTTGCAGCTCTCAGCCTTTTGGAGCTGCCAGGACTTTTTATTGTTTAGGAACTTCAGCATTTGACCTATAGATAGGATTCATAAGAAAAGCTTATAATAAAATCTCAGCTATAGGGAAATAATAAAATGATCAAAAGCAAATAGCAAGTGGAAAGAGATTTTCCCTTTCTGACTGTGCAATGCTCTTTTGTTGCCACTACACCAATTCTTTAATGCCATGGAAACTATCTGATAAATGTATTAGAAGCTCAATAAATTTCATAATATTGAGGTAGCAAAGCAATTGGTTTTGTTGACAGAGAACTTCTATTCAGAAAGCCTATTTTAAGGAGGGAAATTTATCTAAAAATAAAAATCATACTTTGAGCTGCTTTCAACAAAAATATACAATAGTTTCAGAAAACCTGAAAGTAACCTACACTAACTACATTAGATCACTGGAAAATGTGGAAGGATGATGGGGAAAAAATAAGCACAGCTTGAAATTATAAAAGTGGGATACACTGATTTAAAATTTAACAGCCTTACTTTTGGATGGTTTGCTTTACCTAACGTCTGTATTTTTCATGAGGTTGAGGGGGATGGGAACAATACTGTGAGTTCCATGCAAGTTTTCTGTCCAATTTCTCAAGATGCTGCACATGTATTCATAAGGCATATGATGTTTTTAGTCATCTATATGTATATCTTCATCCTCTGGACACTCCCTCACCACTGCAGACACTGGCAGAAACACAAACTGCCCCTTCCCCTTTTGCAGGTAATGCTGAAATTGCTCTGTTTTCACAGGTCCAGCACTACAATACACTTTTTTTCCCAACCACCTGCTTTCTAACACTGCACTCCTACTGATCTACCTCTAGGGACTCCTAAGTAAAAAGAGCAGCTATACAAAATGAAAGTAGAATAACCCTCCAGTAAATAATATATACCTTTCCAATACATCCACAGTCCCATCTTCCTCTGCAGAACAAGCCTGATTTCAGGCATGCCACAAACGTGGTTAACAAACCTGCAAGGGATTTGACTAAGGCACAGAGATGAAAGTACTCAGTCCCAAAAAAAGGCCCTTCACCAGGCCTGCCCTGTCACAAATCAGTTGCCTAGGGCACCTGTCAGCTTTGATGATACCAACAGCCCCTTTAAATAAAGCCAAAAGCCATAACATGCCACAAGATACACCAGGGAAAAGCATGCAAACATCAAAAAATACATGTGAAAAACATACATAAGAGTACAAATATGCAAAATGCAGAACAATTGTATCACAACTCCCATACACACTTCTCATCCCATTCCTCTACACTTGAGACAAAGGAGAAAAGGCTGGGTTTAAAGTGCTATATTGCACAAGAGTTGTATTTGAAAAGATGGCTCCAAATTAGATCTGGTCACACCACAATAAATAAAAATGTAATGAAATTTTCTGAGAAGTTAAGTCTTTACAGAAAGTAAACAGAGCAGCCTTTTGGTTTGTGGCTTTTGAACGCCCAAATTCAACCCAACAGAGCCTCGGCAGGCACACCTGACTTTCCAGATACATTAAAAGGTTGTTTACAATGGGATACCACACACACATTTCTGCTAAATAAAAAAAAACAAACCAGTAACAACTTTATTTCTCCATACATTCTTTTTTCTGGAATAAGCAATACTGAAAATTCCAGTTGTTCTGATTACATTTCCTAAATAGCAGCTTATCCTTCAGACTTGCACATAGCATCAAAACATGCTGTCTGTTCTATTTTCTTCTTTCGTGGAACATTTTTATTACCAAAAGAACAACAACAACGCTGACTTATCTATCTGTTTGTGCAACACAGACATGTATGTTCACACAAGGCAACAGACTGCATTAAAACACTACCAAAACAAGCCATTTCACTATATGTGACTCTGCCCCTGGGGAAAGGAACAAGAGCAGATAAGATGTGACAGATGTGTAGTCACATCACTTAATACACTACTGGAAGGTGCTCAGATCATTATGGTGACAGGCAGAGTATAAAAACTTGCAGAGAATGGACCAAGCAGTTATCTAGTTTTCTGCATACATGATTCTTGTAATCAAAGAAGATACTGAGGTCCATAAAGTGCAGTTTGAGATAAGGCAGCCTGCCAATGCCAACATGCAATACAGTCAGTAAAAAATAGAAAGGAGCATAGCATGTGTGGTTCTGTCAGCAAAACCCCTCCATCAGGACTATGAAATACATCCGAGTTTGAATTTGAGGTCTGTCCTCTAAAAATTTCCTGTACTGAAACATTTCTGAAGAGGCTCAATTAAATATGAAATTTACCCAATCCAGGAAGTTTAAGTAAGCTTAGCAATTGTAGATCTCCAAACTAACTTCACTTTTCTGAGACTCTAAAAAGCTATTTTGCTGAGATCTACTCCCTGTTTTGGTTTAAGAGACAGAACAGTAAGGATAAAACCGGAAATCCTATGGTTACTGGACAGAAGTAACAGGACTAGTCACTTGTTTGAAGGTAAGTGTAAACCTAAGTTTAAAAAATCAGGACTTCCATGCCACTGGCCAAGCAAAGTATGAAAAATGCAGGAGAATCGTGTCCTCGCTTCTCTCAGGAAATCCTGAATGTTACAAATATTAATGTAGGTCAAGAATACTTCCAAACAGCAGCATGATTTTTAGCTGCCAATGTCCCCTCAGCAGGGACCAATACCACTGCTGTTTCAGATAGATTGTTAGGCCCAAATCCCACAAATTAATCTGCACAGGTAGATCCTTGTGCATCTGGGAATCCGCATTAAGGCAAAGAGGGAAAACTAACCCGCAGGATCAGATTCTTAATTTGAAGCTGGACCACTGTAACTCATTATGACACTAATCATAAATGTCTCACCAACACTCTCTGCTCCCCATCTGTTTGTTTTATCTTATTATAGTTTTATATCTCAATCCTTAGGACTAGCTACCATAGTCAAATTAAGCACCTGCACACGCCTGTGTTCCTGCAAGGCCAAATCCTCAGACACAGGTTGTTTTTCCTATGCTTGTACCTGTGCTTAGTTTACTCCCTGAACGGGACTACAAAACAGAATGAAATAATTGTAACATCAATTTCTTTATTTATGCAAATCTCAGTGCATGCCACTAATCCTATCATTTAAACCAAAGGATAAACTCCAGTCGCCTCCTGAAGTGCAGCAACGAGTATGATATAACCTGCGTAGCAAAAATGACCTGAGAAAGTGTAAAACTGAGCTTTAAAAATATTTAAGGGAGCATTTGCTTCTTTGTCATACTGCCATAAAACAGCAAGAAAATCTCATAGTATATCCTGAGTTGGAAGGGACCCACAAGGACCATCCAAGCCCAACTCCTGGTTCTGCACAGGATCACTTAAAGAATAACAAATAACATTCACTGCAGATGATAAAGTCAAATCCACTGGCACCAACCAATCCTAAATTGAGAAATACTGACTCCCAGCCAGCCACAGTGCAGAAGCTGGATGGACCTTTCCTTTATGCAGTATAGCCATCTTCTGTCTCCTTATGAAGAAATGGGGTTAAGAACTAAACCAAAGTGCAGTTACACATTTACTACCTATTTCAATACTCAGATTAACACATTTGCCAAACAGGTAGATGAGGGAATGCAGGAAATATACTTGCCCATAAAGCAAAAAAGGGACAGACATAATCAGAGAATAATCAGAGCTGGGAGGGACCCTTGAGGATCATCTAGTCCAACTCCTGGCCCTGCACAGGACATCCCTGATTATCACACCATGTGCCTCAGAGCACATCATATTAAACCTATTCCTATTTTCCAGAATTATCAGCACCAACCATGCTTATTGTCAGTACTTACAACAGAAAAGAAGAATAGCAAGGGGAAAAAAATCCACAAAAGTAAACCAACCACTAGAGAATTCAGTGTTAAAAAAAGACTTCTGAAAGGCGATTTCCCCTTCCTCACCAGACAGACATAATTCTGAGAAGTGCTTTTGGCCCCTGGATTTGTACTGAAATTCAGTGACAAGTGGGATTTAGAGGAAGCATTCAAGATATCACAGGGATATTGGCATCCTTTTAAGTGTAGTACTCTGGATCATCATTTTCTTTCTCAAATCAGAAGTTAGATCTGCCAGCAGGAACTCAACCAGAGCTGGGATATGCAGGATCTCAAAACAGTAGTGTCTTGCCTAAGACCAGACTGGCAGCATCTTTCCCCTTGAGAGGCTGCAGCTCATGGGATCTTTTGCTTTCAAAACCCAGCAGGAGCTAGGAGCTGGGAGCTGTCCATTCAAATATGGTATGACAGGGGGTCCCTCACTTGCTGCAGGGCTGCAGCCTGGGGGCTGCAGTTGGCACCACTGCCACAGGTTGCAAATCCAAAAGTCAAGGAAAGATACCAAAATCCACTTCCCTTCTGCTCACAAGTCCATTTACCCTTCCCAAAATTACTGCTAATTTATGTCAGTTGTTGAGGATTCACAAATTAAAATACTCTGAGACACAGCCTGAGTGCCTTGAAAATTCAAGTCATGGTACAGGTTAACATCAGCATTCAGAACTTTCAAAAGTATTGCAAACAATTACCACACCCTCAAGTCACAGATAAAATAGTTTGTAGAGCTTAAATACATATATTTCTGGCATGAAACATTTCTCAATGCTGGCAAAAATTCCCTGCAATTTCTGACAACAGAACAGTTCGAGTTTAGAAGTTGGTTGTAGCAGAAAATCATTTTATTTATTAAAAACCATGTCTGATCTTACCTTTTAGCAGAGGCAGGGGAGTTAACTCTATAGGCTTGCCCTGAGACCTGAACTGGGAGGAGCTTTGTGACCTCTTCTGTCTGGCTTTTCTGACGGACTTCCGAGAAAATCCGTCTACTTTATCCACTGATGGAGGAGTAGTTGGTGCTGAGGACATATCCCTACTGAGGGAAAACAGTGGTTAGGAACATATTTCAAATGGGTGAAACAGGTAAACATTAACCTCAATTTTTCAAGTATCTTTTTCTGCACCACTCTCCTGCTGACAACTCACCCAGATAAACTGCTAAGAGATTGAACCCACTGATATATGTACAAATTGGATAAATAAACTTGATGCAACTTAATTATTAGTGCAATAATTCCTCTTGCTCGTGGTTATCTGTGTCTCCCCATTTGCCAAAAATCCTGTAAGAGGAAAAAATTCAGATCTAATACTGATATCATTACATCAACAGAACTTCATACACCTGTGGACCTGACACAGGATTGTAGCCTTAAACTGTGCATTCTTTGGGATGAAGTAATTTCACCTCATTTTGCAAGGGACCATGTATGCAAAAGAATGAGTACACATAAAGGGATAAATGTATTTTTGGCATTAAAGTCACCACTATGTATAGGACATAAAAAATAGGACAGAAGAAAAAAAATCCAGCTATTTGCCACATGTACACACAAGATTTTATAGAAATTTAATAAAGTATAGCAAAAGGTTCTGCAATGCTTCACAATTCCAGTGACAAATTTTACATATTACTTCTTTGTTCTCCATTTTAGAAATACTCAGTTATTTTCCTGTGAGTCTCTTCACACATAGCTATTCCACACTCTGGCATTTCTGTATGACTAGCAGTGTGGTAGCTGTAACTGCTGTAAGGGCCTAAGCCAGACAAGGTTTGCAGAGAGAGGCAAAGAGCCAAAAAAGGCTTCTGCAAGCGAAGTTTGTTTGTTTCCCAACTTCAGCTGGTCTAAGCAATAAGCATTGCTTCTTCCTATAAAACCTGCCTTGGTTGTACTCCTGCAGCTGACTCTATACTACTAGAAAAGTGAATTAATGCATCCAGTGATTGTATTTACTAGTCTTGTCCTGCCTGTTAAAAAAGCCCAGCAGATCTTGCTGAAATACATGAGTAATACTCAAGGGAAATGAGACAGGAGGAATCCAGGCCTACATGTTACACGCAGCTCTGTGCAGTTAAACTTCACCATCATGTGCACTTCCACTGAAATCAGCAGACCCATCTGCATTAAGGAGAAAAGCTCTGTTGGTTTCAGCCAGGCCACACACTCCTGCAAAGTTAAGCATCGGCCCAAGCGTTTGCAGGATCAGGGTCTTAGAACATGTCCTTGGAAAGCATTACTCATCCTCAATGTCTGTTGACTTCAATTACCAAAGTGACTCTTATGCTACAAGAAGTTGATTCCACAACACAGGGAACACTTTCGAGTACTTCTTTTTATTCAATTTATTTGGTTACTCACATGCTGCATAAATTACTAAACCCAGTGAAACAGACATTTGGGGTTGCCTTTTGCAAGAAAAAGCTTTCAAAAGTATGATTTGTTGCAACAGTGTAAACAAGCTCTGAAAGGTAAGAACTATTTAGTGCAAAATTACATATAGGTGCACTGAATCTATCAAAAATGGAAGTATAAACTCCACAGCTTCTTTGAGGAAGCAGAAGCTGAACGGTGCAGCTGGCATGACAATAATGAGCAAACCTTATTCCATCTTTCTGATTTCTCCTGAGGTATTCTCTCACTACCATCTTAGGCTTTCTAAATATAATATACTATCAGCAACATGAACCCATACCTTAAACTGCTCTTGTTTATCATCCAGGCAAGAAAAAAAAAATGCCACCATCACCAGGGCATTCAGGCCCCAGCCAAGATTAATAAATAAAAAAGTCAGATAAACTGAAATAGAATGGCCTGTACTTTAGCAACCTGCTCCTAAGATTTCAACAGTCTGTCAGAAAAAAACATGCCAACACAAAGTTACCTGTTACATAAACCAAATATCAGCAAAAAACGTATCCTCTGAGCCTGAATCGGTTTGGCCCTATTTCATGTCATGGGAAAGCTTCCCCTCCTCATCACGTGCACCACTGAAGTGTAACCATTCCTGCAGAAATGTTTGCACACTCTCTCGAAATTAAATCACCAAAAAAAAAAATATAACAGTCCTAATAATAATGGACAGGGACCAAAGTAGATCACTTAAACTGCAGGATCATTGTGTCAGCAAGGAGCTTTCCTGACACTTCTCTGCTGTAAATTTAGTAACAGTTTCCCTAACCTGCTTTATAAATTATTAAAATCTAATTCTAATTCGACAAGACTATATCCAGCCTAACAACCTTACGGTAAACACTGATCTTTTTTTTCAGCTCTCCAAACGAACGTTCGCTCCTCTGCACACACTACCGGGGGAAACACTCTGTTTCCACCGGCG